TGAAACTGCAAGAATAGGCAAAAGGAAAATAAATGAGACAAATTATTTCAATACAGCCATTTAATAACACCTATTTAATTAATACATTATTTCTTTTATACATTTAACTTTTATTGCGTGTAATTCCCGTAAGCGGTACATAATAATCTGACGGATATATATATATATATATTTTTAATGACAGCTCCCGCATTAGGAATAAGAATATCAGTTGTCGCGGGGGACTTTACAAACATACATGAAACGGATACAAAGAACACCCAGACTCAGAACAACAATTTGTAGATCACATAAAGTGTAGTTCCATGTGGGGATCAAACCAACAACACTTAGCAAAGTAGTAAGCGCTTAAACCACTAAGCCATCCGTGGAGTCCTTGCATATACCAGTGCATATATCAGTATATGAATGGAAAATTGAAAGAGTTTTATTATAATAAAAGCAAAATGTTACCATTAAATATAATGTTTTTATTATCAGGGTTAAAACTCTTACATATTGAGATGATTCCAAATTAAATTGGGAACAAGGCAGAAAATTAATGGTAATGACAAAATCGAATACAGTAACACGATTAACGAATATATTTCACAGATTAGAATTATGTAACACAATCTATAATATTACAATTACCAGGAATTACACGCCATAATACAGGTAACGATTATCATAAAATAACTATATTCAGTGCAAATGTAGTAGCCACATAGATATTATAATATTTATATAATTTTATGTTATTTAATAGACAATACTAGATATTGACAAATTACAAGAAAATATAATAGAAAACTTGCAGTATTTATCGAACGTTAAAGATGTGACAACATTTATGTGGGTAGTTATAATTTTTTAATGACTAGTAACATTCAAAAATCCATAACATCAAGTTTTTTTCGGCCGACATCAAAATCGATGGTTCGTAGCTAGTTGAGGAGGAGGAAAAAAACATCTTTGTACGAAACCAGTTTTGAACCAGGATTGTTTTTTCTTTTTACGCAACCACGGTTACGTACTAGGTATTTATTATTAATACTTTAGTTTTTTTATAGTTTTTTTTTTTCTAAATAGGTAACCACTTCCACGGGATAAACATAAAATACAGATATTATTAGACATTTGACACAAATAAATAATTATAACTGGTCAGTATTTCATGAATCATGTGTTTGTGTACCTAGGTCCAGTAATGAGGAGCAATATTTCCTCCCTTGTATGTATACGTCTTCGTAACTAGTAGGTTTCGTAAAAAGAACAGATAATCCTTCTCAACTGGTTACAGTTTCGATGAGGGCCGAAGGGTTTAAAACATGCAATATTTACCTACACCAAGTTTTTTATAGTGGCTACATACATATATTTTTTGCCTAACACACAAAGTACAAAATATATTCATATTGCAAAAATATTACTTACATGTTATAGACACTCATAATTACTACATTTAATACATCTCTTTTACAATTTTTAAACACTCGTAATATATAAAGTACACTACTTGTGAACATCAATAATATAAACAACAGTTTCTTAACTTTCTAAAGAGAGAACATTATACCGGTCAAAAAAAAAACGTGTGCGTCTCGGGACGCCCGACACAAGTGATAACTTAAACTAATCTAAGTTGAACTATTTAATATAGAAATTGTTTAACTTGAGAAAAGCTTAGGTTATTACTTAAATGTTATGTAAAGCGTCTGTCCGAAATACGGACGCTGTATGCGTGAGGGAAAGGGAAGCCGGACAGACTGGCGCCGTAACGCGTTACGTAACGAATCTGTTTACCCTCCCATAAGAAGTTATCACTTCAAACACGACGGAGCCTTACAGCCATCGTATATGATGTGTGAAATCTGACATCTCTCTTTGATAATCAGCGTACTCTAGCACCGATCGCTCATTAGTCAATCCAATTCAGTAAATCAAAACTCAATCGTCTTCCTATTACATACTTCTGTTTCGTTTCACGAAATCGTTTACGTACATTGCAGGCAAGCGAGAGTAAGTAACACATCGAAAGTACAAATTGTTTTATTGATACAAATTAAACGAAAGCATTAGATACCAGTTGACATCCATATACCTAAGTCGTTTCCAATCACAAGACGGAACCGTTTCCCTTGCATATTTTCCCCGCCAATTTTATTTATTCCCTTGTCCCGTCTGAAAACGATTACAAGTAATCTCCAGGAGGGTTAGGGTCACCATAAAAGGGTCACCAGAGGGCTAACCATAAAAGAAACCAGCCCAAACCCTTAACAATGTTACACATTACAACAACCTCAAATAAATTTGGGGAAGGACGATGTCAGATGATCATGATATCAGATGTTATTATGTACTGCAGTCAACAACCTTCCCTTAGTGGCAGACAAAATTAAATTGTGTTTATAACTTCGCAATGTACGAACATAATATTCAAGACCAACAGATGCTGCACGATAGAACTCTAATTCTAGTCTATTCACGTTAAGAAAGGCCCAGGTTCCAAGCTTTCGTACCAAACGATAATTTCTTGGAATCTGATGGGTTAGACGGCGGGGCTTGATCGATGCGTCACTATTTTCTTAACGCGAATGGATTAGAGATAAAACAGTTTACCAAAAAGCTAAGTAGCTTCACACCATGTCATGATGATATACTCGGATTATGGCAATATAAATAATCAGTGTCTCAAGATATGAACAATTAAACGCACAACTCTAATCATATAGTATAAAATGGTTAATAATAGTATTGTGCCTTTTTATTGCACACCAAAAATATTACAAGGATTAAGATAAAAGCAGTATGAAGCAGCAAATCGGTCGACTTTATCGCACTGTTGTTACAAAAAAGCAACCATAAGATGGAGATAACAATTGAATAATGATATTAAGGCAGTATCAAAGCCTTCAAACCATCAAAAGAGTGCACTCGTGACTCCTGAGTTGCAGGCGTTCATGGGCGGCGGTAGTCGCTTTCCATCAGGTGACCCGTCTGCTCGTTTGCCCCTATTCCATAAAAAATATTGTGCAAATTCAGTACTTAAGAAAATAAATAAAATATTAAGTTACCTACAGTTAAACTGATATTGTTTTTATGTAAAATTCGACTACGACTACTCAAAACAGCAATATGTTTTTCAGTTTCTTTTTATTTAGAATTGAATAAAAATACATACACCTCATGAGATGTGATAAGGTCTGTTTTAGCTGGCTATATCATGAGGATAATTATTTGCTAAAATGATAGGACACATCGTAAAGACTTTTCTTTTTATGATAGATGAAGATGAGATATAAGGGCAAATGGGCAGGCAGATCACAAGCTGGTGGAAAGTGAAGACCGACGCCCATAATGAAGATCTAGCTTATATAGATATATTGGACATCCAAATTAATTCTCACCGCCTTTCCTTATTTAATGAGATAGTAAGTGACAATGCATTGACAAAAGACAACAGGAGGTTAATTTATTTTATTTTTACACTTCCTGCATTACAACTTGCACGAGGCGAACTTAATACCACATGGCATTATCTACCAGTCAACCTTAAGATGGTTTAGTAACGGACATACAGATGCACATGTATTATGTAAAAAGAAGAGAAGCTATGACAATATAACACGAATTGGATAATACTATTTAAAATAGCAGTACTCTCAATGCACAGAAGACACACATAGCAGAGAACAGACAAACCTCTGTGGGCTCTGATAGCTAGTAGATAGGCATGCCCATCACCATAGCGGATTATATAGTTTAAGAGTTGGCAGATGCTCTCACTGCACAGAAGACGCACATATCAGAGAACAGACCAACCTCTGTGGGCTCTGATAGCTAGTATTAAGATAGGCATGAGTTGGCAGAACTCAAGTCTCATAGCAACACCATATCTTACTTGGCAGGAAGTGTTGAAAGCTCTTTAAATAAGGGTTATATAACTTTTTCTTAAACACTGGCGATTTCCTACACATAGTTTTACAAGTAAACTTAACACCCAAACATTGTAAGTTTAAAATTTAAGTGATCTAAAAAAGAAACATATTTTACTTCTTTTTACATAAATAATCAAATCAACTTTTTTTATACTCCAAGATTACATCAATGTTAAAAATTAGACTAGAAGTTAAACTTATTGTAATAAAAAATATTGTAACAAGTTGCTATGCTCCTTGAAAATATGAAAATAGCAACGCCAAGTTCACGCCAAGCCACTGCCATACCACTGACATGCTATTGAGATGCCATCGAGTGACCATTGGCATCGGTATAAATATCGGTAGTCTACACTAACTCAGTGTCTTTACAGTGGCGATGGAATGGCAGTGGCTTATCAGTGGTGATATCAAAAAGATTGCCATATTTGGAAAAATAAATAAATCATTTTCTCAAAAAAACGTAATATATTTTCAAATTATAAGGCGTATATATATATATGCGTGTCAGTGGTGACAGAGGCTTGGTGTAAACATAAAATAGCAGAATTAAGGCCCTGATGAGTATAGGAATTCACCCCTTGAAACAACATTAAAGCGCAGTACACCAACAGCAGCACTTGTGGTTTATGCACAATGTGAAGCATAAACTACTCAAACGAACACTGTGCAAATTCTTTTAAACAAATTATTCATTTCCAGGTTTATATCTCAAATTTAACTGTTTATCTTATATTTTATTGTATAATAGTCCGATTAATATGAATCTGAAAAGTTGATTTCATGGCAAAAACCAGTGAAGAACTAAATAGTATATTTATATTAATAAATAGTTGAAAGTAGTCTGAAGTGATCCCATAGTATTTGTGTAAGAGGCACACCAAAAGTTATTTTAAACATCTAAAAATATCTTTAAAGTATACTTGCCAGTTCATTAAATTGAAAAGCTGGCAACAATAGTTTAGTCTATGCTTGCCATATAGTCGTTGGGGTAGTGGTTCAGGATCAGTTCTTGTATTTATATTTTTCGTTCTTATCTAGCCTTTGATTCTGATCACTGCTCCCACCCGGAGCCGGATCTCAGTTTGCCGTCCACTGCAAATATTTAAATTTGATTTTAATTATATATAACAACAAGGTATAACAACTTGTTAGATAACTGCAGAGCTATTGTCTATTCTCTGTCTCTTAAGAAAATAGTGATGGATCGATCAAGCCCTGCCTCCTGACCAATCGGATTACAAGAAATTCTTGTTTGTTACAAAAGCTTGAAGCCTGATTGGTTAGGGTGTGGAGCTTGAGCCATGCCTCACTATTTTCTTAAAGTGAATGGATTACAGGTTTTTTTGGAGTATCTAAAGGTTGGTTACAATATGAACATCTAAAATACTAAAACATGTACTCCCATAAGTCTATTTAAAAGTTAGATCAAATTTTATTACCTTCAAGGAAGCTCCACCCTGCTGAGCAAGTTCCCTCTCCCTCTTCTCCATCTCCTCACTTCTCTGTTGCATGCGTTGAACTTTCTCAACATCTTTGATACCTCGGGTAGCATTTTCTGCCACACGTCGCTCAGCTGCCTCACTCTGCTGACGACGCCTGGTCTCCTAAAAGTACAGAAAATTTTCTTGTTGCAGTAGAAAAAAATTATAAGCAACAATATAAATATAGATAATGTACTGCCTTTATTTGGCTCAAGACCTTGAAATACATATACGAAAGCGATTGTAAAAACTCGTTTCTAAAAACATGAATTAGACAGTAATATTTGTAGATACTATTAAAATTACTATTCTTTTTACTATCCTCTATTACCAATATAAAAACCTAAGAAATCAAAGTTGGTTGTTCTGAAATAACATAACATTATTTTTTTTTGGAATTACTCAACATAACAACAACAATTGGACTATATCGTTTTCGAAAGTTTTCCTTTTAAAATACAACTTACGGCATCTGGTGTTAGTACTTCTGAAGCAGATGGTCTACAGCAGGATGTAATTATACCCATTTCTAATAAAATTAATGTTGTTTAACAAAAAAACATTAAATAAACTCGTGATAATTATTATCAGTACCTATGTTTACGCCAATTTTAATAACTTTCTTTTGACAGTAATATTTACGTTCAACAACTACAACTAATGAATTTGATTTATTTATTTTTCAAAGTGTTACTGGCAGTCAGAATAAATTGTATAATAAAATAATATTTTATTTGTCAAAGACGACATTCAAGGAGCAGTAAGTATGTTAGTTGAATATCGTAATGTTGGTTTTACAGGAAAAATACGATACAATTATGTAATTTTACCAACCATACGCTTCCAAATCCAGTGAACGTTAGCCATGGCAATAATGCGTTTGATTATGCAGTAAGTTTTCTTAATTTAATTTCACCGATTTACCTAAATGAACTTGTTGTTATAAATTGCAAAAGATACACAAATAAACAAAAATAGATTCAGCTCCACTAAATTATTGATTTTCAAAATGACCAAGTAATAAATCAAAAGTAGTCATAGGACTTAATGAAAATATGTGTGTTATGAATGCATGAAAAGAAGTAATTGTGAATTATATTGCAATTGGACACACCAATTAAAAAAGTTTGTAATATTTTATCAGTCAGTTTAATCAAATCAAATCGACTAAAATCTTGAGCAGTTTTTGCTATAATCTATAAAAATAGTCGATCCATTTAGTACAACACTAACGCAAAGTACTTTTCATTCGGGGCTGTCGATTTTTGTAAAATAAATTGCTACTTGCAAAATACAAAATGCTATCACGCGTAGCTTTTCGTTCAGGTACGTAATAATATTAAACTATGTAACTCATTAAACTTCTAACATATTTTAATTAAATTTTAACCTTAACCCTGCTTACGAGGGTTTATGTAATCACCGATTTGACGGGTGTCTCGTATTTGCCGATGAAATTAAAAAATAAATCTATTCTATATTAAAAAGTAATAGTTATTGAAGTTGTTGACAGTCCTATAGTGGCCCAATTGGCAAACTCATGCTCAACTCACTCAAAAAAATCAGATTTTTACAGATAATGTTTTCTTATAAACATTCTTATAAATTAGACTTAATGAATTTTTTATTACGTACTATAATTTGTGCTCCCCAAAAACTGACTTATACTCTGCAATAATGGTCGGTATTAAAATACTTTTTTGCACAAAATATAAGTAATCCATGTACAAGTACAATAATTCTCATGTAACAACTCTTCAGCTGCGGCTCGACAGTCCACAAGCACAGCTATTGCGGTACGTGGCTCTGCTTCAGATGTCTCTGGCGTTCGAGATGAAAAGAACTTCCCAAGACCTGTGCGAGGTGAGCCTGGGAAAGTCAGGCTGGGATTTTTGCCTGAAGAATGGTAAGAATACTACTCAAGTGTTTCTTTTTGTTCTACTAAACTGTTATGAGCATGTATCTTGTAATACTGAACAGCTAATAGTCTTTGACTTATTAAATTTATTATCAACTAGCCTATGCCCAGGTCTCCGCCCGCATAATAGTCGGTCATGTACTCAAAATTTACACACTGCCGATTTTATAGTTGTCCTATGACCAGTCATTTCCAAAATGAAGACAAATCTAACATCTGTCTAATCTAAAATCATCAAGCTGATGAAAGAAATATATTTGCATGCACTCAAAGAAACCAATCTTCCTCAGAGGTGCAGTGGTAACATATGCAACTGCTTTTTCGGAGTTTGGGTGTTTTTCTATGTATAATATGTGTGTATTTACAAAAAAAGAGTATATAAGTATTCTGTCAGTCAATCTGGCTTTCATAGTACAAGCTTTGCTTAGTTTGAAATTAGATGGCGTTGTGTGCCAAATGTCTGAAATGTTATTTATTTATATTCTTCTGGTGTAGTTGGCTATAAACAAAGTAGATAAAAATGTTGGACTAGACTGACTTGCCTTCTACTATTGTTTCCAGGTTCCAATTCTTTCACTCCAAGACTGGTGTGACGGGACCGTACACATTTGGTGTTGGTTTGGTCACATACCTCTGCAGCAAAGAGATTTACGTCATGGAGCACGAGTACTATTCCGGTCTATCATTGCTTCTCATGGTCTATGTTGCTACCAAGAAATTGGGGCCAAAAGTAGCTGCCTGGTTGGATAAGGAAGTTGATGTAAGTGTTTTTTTGTATTTCTGCTAATCAGTATTCTACCATATATAAACTTTTTAAATCAAATTGTTTTAAAAATCTTTGCCTTTTAATGACAAAATTAAGTCACAAAGTACACAAAGAAGTTAATGAAACCTTGTTAAACTTAACACTATAGATTTAGTAGTTTCTTATTAATAAGAAATTACTTACCTAGGAGATATTGATCTAAACTAGCTTATGTAGACTTACCAACGACTTTGTTTTATGTTTATGTCAATCTCGCTAATCAATTGTTCCAGGATATAAAGAAACCTATGGACTCTCTATTAAACTATATGTATAGCCTATGTGTCAAACTTCATTGAAATCCATTCAGCCGTTTCAGTTGATGTAATTACAGACATCCATTCCTAGTAGTAACATTACCTACTAGTTATTGCCGTGTATGATATTCTAGTTATGTTGGCGTTTATCAAAGGGGAGACTTTCAGTTAGTCTGGTTTAGTTGACGTAGATACAGCGTAAACGCACTTAGGCCTGCCCAGACCCAAACCCGAACTTGAATTACACGAATAATGTACAATGTAATAATCACACACGGCCGTCCGATCCCTGTCTATATTATGGTAACATACATATTATAGTTAAATTGCACCCAGACACAACAAATGATCAGGCTCATCACATAATTATTTGTGGTGGGAATTAAACCCACGACCTGCTGCTTAGCAGTCAACGTATATACCTATATATAATTTGTAAATCTATATTACATAAATAACTTTATGTAACTCTATGTACAGTACTGAACACCATAGCATAGGACATGTTTCTAGCCATGACCTAGCTTGTATGAAAGGTTTAGTAACAGGAGGCTCATGAGATATGTAAGGGTATGAAAAGAATAATAAAAGAAATGAAGCAAGTGGGGGCTGGTTAATCTGACTACACCTTTTTTTTTTCCGTGCAGAAATCCCCTCGGATACAATCTGACTCCCCTAAGATACAAACGTATGTATGTGTGTATATAAAGGTTCATTATATTTTTTTTGTATAATTTCAGGCTGTTGAGAATCAGTGGAACGAAGGCCGTAATGAAACCATCAAAGCCTTGGAAGATGCTGTAAAGTCCGAAAAGGAGGCGCAGTGGCGCGCTGAGGGCCAGGAGCTCCTCATCCAAGCCAAGAAAGAAAATGTTCTGTTGCAGCTTGAGGCTGCGTACAGGGAGCGTCTGATGAACACGTACAATGAGGTATAATAAGGGAACGGACACATACTATGTTACCCCGTTTTTTTGTAGGTTAACCCCCCTTTTACCTCCTCGGTGACCACCCATAGTAAATGATGAGACCCTAGAAACTTTACATAGTAATTCATAAATGTGGGTTGAATCATTTTTTGCAAATAAAAAACGCTAAATATTGCATGCCATATATATTTTTTTATGATATAAAACGAACAGGGCCTCAATTCTGCTATTTTATGTTCACGCCAAGCCACTGTCATACCACTGACACGCTATTGATATTATTACGAAAAATAAATAAATAATTTCTTCAAAAAAACATAATATATTTTCAAATTATAAGGAAATGATTTATTTATTTTTCCAAATATGGCAATCTTTTTTAATATCACCACTGATGAGCCACTGCCATTCCATCGCCACTGTAAAGACACTGAATTAGTGTAGACTACCGATATTTATACCGATGCAAATGGCCACTCGATGGCATCTCAATAGCGTGTCAGTGGTATGACAGTGACTTGGCGTGAACATAAAATAGCAGAATTGAGGCCCAGAAGGGTCACCTGATAGAAAGTGACTATTAAAAAGCATATATAGAATATATGAAAAAACGCGCGATTTCCCTTGGCTACTTGACGAAAACCTTAGACATCCCCCTGCCCCGGTGATTTTGTGCTCATCAGCCTTTTGTGTTGTGCCCCGTTCCAGCAATTTCGTTGTTCCTTAGAAAGATGGTTTTCCCACGATTATACTTTAATAATAGTTACTCTACTTCTTCTAGGTGAAACGTCGCCTGGACTACCAATTGGAGAAGACCAACCTTGAACGTCGCCTGTCCCAGAGGCAAATGGTCGACTGGGTAGTGTCCAATGTTACTAAAGCTATCACTCCTGATCAGGAGAAGCAGAACCTGGATCGCTGCATTGCTGATTTGACAGCCCTAGCCGCTAGGAAGTAAACTGTTGTAGATTATTTATCTGTGTAATATATTATGAAATAAATGAATGATTGAGTTAGCTTTGTGACTATTAATTTGTCATCATCATCATCATCATCATCATCAACAGCCTTTAATAGTCCACTGCTGGACATAAGCCTCTCCTGAGAAAGGAGAGGATAATGATTAATTGATAAGGATTAATTTGTAGAAGTGTTTAATTGACTTAATAAGTCAGTGTTTTCCTTGTCTTTGAATTAAATTATAGGTTGTTTTCTATTAAGGTTTAATCAAGTGATATCATCTGCTAACTTCTTACCTCTCTCTCTCTCTCCTTCCTTCCCTCTTTAAGTTGTATGTGATGTAGGATTTTCCTTTGGCAATAAATCATTCTTAAATGCACATAACCGACACTGGTCCAGACATGGTTGCAGGTAGGTTTTGTCTGGCTTAAAAATAGCACAAAATAAAAATAATCATAGACACACGCCCCTTTTTGTTTAAATTCTTCAATTTTTTTAAAATGTGTATCATTTTTTAAAATATAACACAACAATATTGAACAATTGACTCCATTTTGACATTTGACAACATCATCATCATCAATCATCATCAACAGCCTATACTAGTCCACTGCTGGACATAGGCCATAACAACAATAACATTAATTGAAATTATTATGCCTAAGCCACAAGCTGAAAGTAGTTTCTCAGTAAAGTGTACCACCAAAATGCATAGATAGTAAGAATGTTGGGGCTCGCTTCGGTCGCCCTGATAATAATTGGGGGTTTGATCCCCTCCCAGTACACTATCATTTAACTTATTTTAGATGGAGATGTGAATAGACAGATAGTACGACAATAAAATACAAATGTATGTTACAATGATTTATTTTACAAATACAATAATTAGCTGGACAACAGTTCCCATTTTAGTATGTTACGGCGATAAATCGCCTCAAGTTAAAGCTCTTTTTACATTATTGCACCTGCACTGGATTGCGTCGGGATGCCAAACATTCTAAACTCAACATGGCCGTCATAGATATATCGACATACCAAGCGAGCGCACATTATAAAAAACCATTACTTCAATAGTTTATTTACAATTTTCAAAAATGCTTTGATTTTTTTACATAGCAACATTAGTCCAGTATAAAAGAGAATTCGAAAATTTTAATATTAGTCTTTTGGGATGTTGCTATGCAATTTTTTTTTCACAGGATTCATAAGCATAACAAATGAAATAACTTAGACGGAGCCAGTGCGTATAAATCACAAACTGGTTTTAATTATAGATATATTATTATTAAGATACTGCATGAGTTCACAACACAACAAAATACTGGTACTGACTGTACAACATTTGTAGTAGTTAAATAATAAATTAATATTGGTTCCATTATACATTATATATCGAAGTTTATTAGTGGATACTTTTGGCTGGAAAGAAGGTTGGGTTCTTTTATTTCTAGTTTTGGTCAATGATACGGAGTTGGAGTTTATTTTTTTTTCTAAACATTTTTCCTCTTGCTATCTCGCAGTCTGCAAGAGTGATTTCATAAACAGAACGAAAGTTTGTAATTAGAAGTGCACACTATTCCATTTGGCCAATCAGCGCTCGCAGTGCTAGAATTGGCCGTCAGAGCATTTAACTTTCAGTAAAAATGTTAATCTTTGTGATGAACAATCTTTTAAAATAGTACCTCAATATTTTTTTAAGGATATAATGGTAATGTGGATTATTCTCAAGGCGAAGTATCAGATGACACACATCATATGTGACTCGTTATGATACAGAGTCAAGTTTTAGGTTTTGCTAACAAGAGGTACTATAAAATCATTAAAAGTAATAATGATGAATTTAAAGTCCATTCGCGTTAAGAAAACAGTGACGCGTCGATCAAGCCCGCACCTTGGCCAATCAGGTTTCAAGCTTTCATACGAAACGATAATTTCTTGGACCCTGATTAGTTAGGGGGCGGGACTAGATCAATACATCACTATTTACTTAACGCGAATGTACTATAATTATATTATTTCGTCAATAAATCGTTCACGTAAAATGAGCTCAACCTCCTTTCCAGTCAATTTTAATATATTACACTTAAATTACAATTATAAAGCTGATTATAAAACAATTATTGTTGATATATCTCTCTATCTCACATTAAAAGCTAAAAATTGATGTAAAATCATTGTAAATCTGTATCAAAATCACATCGTGCACGAACTAATATACATTGTTTAGCAAAAAATGTGTAAAACCAATACTATGATATAAAAATATATATCTCTTTTTAAAATTAACTTATAGAAAATTATCGTGAAGATTTGATTAGAAATGTGATAGCTAAAGTCCCCAATTATTAAAAGAAAACTAGTAAGACATAGTGTAGACTTTTATTCTTCTTTAGTGCTCTTTTGTCTATACATAAATCTATATAAAATTACTTACATTGACTGAGCGATTCATCAACGCAGAGCCTATACCACTATATTCATGTTCTAAGCACTCACTAAGAAAATATTATAATAATTTTTTGACGACTGGATGGCGTAGTGGTTTGTGTAACGGACTGTTATTCCAAAGGTCGCGGGTTCGATTCCCGATCAAGTCAAACATTTGTGTGCATGAACATTTGATGTTTGATTTGGTCTGGGTGTTTCTATGTATAATATGTATGTATTTACAAAAAAAAAGTATATATGATATTTATATCAGTTGTCTAGTACAAGCTCTGCTTATTTTGGGACTAGATGGCGTTGTGTGTATGTGGTAGAATATTACTATTTATTATTTATTTTAATAGGGTAAAATAAGGGATGAACGGTTCTATGGAAGTTCGAAAGAAATAATCTTGTCCTTGAAAAGGCAGACCACGCGACCTTTACGTGGTGGTCAAACCTAGGCACCCGGTACTACGTGGCGTGTGCAAGATCTGTAAATTCTTGAAAGCTTTCTTCTTAGGGTATACCCGGGTCCCTTGCTTTAAGAACGATTTGTGAACACTGCGTGTTTTTTTTTTATTTCCGCCCTACCATTAGATCCAGTCCGATGAACCGAGGAGTTACAGCACGATAAAAAAATGGGTGATATTGGTTTCCAAACCTTAATAAGCTAATTAGGGAAGTAGTAACACAATAGCCCCTTTCATTTAATTAAAATTCGAGTAGTCAGAGCCATGAAATAGACCATCTCTTGTCATGGAGGTGCACTCTATGTGTCATGGCTCCGCAAATTAGCTAATAAAACGGTAACGGAATTTTGTACAGACTTGTTGCGATATTAAATCTATTAAAATTAATGACAATATATCCCATCTCTAATTAAATAATTTCATTCACGATATTCCATGTTAAAATTGTGTGTATGCTTAATATATCGTTCGTATAGAAACATAATGAACTGACCATAAATATTATTCTTTTTTTATGACATTTATCGATTTAAATAATCGACTAAAAGATACTCCGAACTTTGAGTGAGTAAAGGTTGGCATTGAAAATATTTTAAAATTTCTATACAAACGATGCATTTAAATATAACTAGCGCTAACCTAAAATTAATTATAGAATGACAAAAAGTAACAAAAATATTTTATACAAATTAGTATTTGGTTTCTAGGCGTCTATTTATACGTACATTAAATATTTCACATATTTTTTCAAAAATTTGATTAAATTATTAATTACGTCAACATTTCTTTCCAAACATTTTTATACGAACGCCGATTAAATAAGTTACAACAGAAATATTTAGTATTTTGGGTCTTCCCAATTGTAATAAAAAATTAAGTAAATTTGTCGGATTAAAAAAGAAAGTAATTTAAATGAATTAAAGCCTTTTTAAATTCCTCAATCAACAATGCAGTATGCATTTGATAATAAAATACGTGACGTTTAAACTAAGCTTGGTTCTTGCTGTTGACTGCAACATATAAATGAAACAAAGGTGTGGAATTTTTTGCTTGTTTAGGTATATTCCAACTAGTAATGAACTAAGAACAAAAATATACCCATACTATTTTATTTAAAAAACAAGCAGTCTATTTTAAAAATTATTACTGTAAACATTTCCGGGTCCATACGGTTACAATAAAATAAAAATAACACGTGAAAACAAATATAATCCTCTCAATAGCGCTTCAAATAAATATCTCTTTAAGATTACTGAACAAAATTCTTATATTATTGGGATCGAATCCCGCGAAAGTCGTGCAATCTTAGCTATCAGCACCATTTTATGAAAATTGTGCGTTTAGTAATTATCATATGCGATTATTTGAAGATAATTTTTTTTGTGGTTAATATTGTAACTTTCAGAGACTAGCCGAATGCGCACAGTTTTGATTTCAATTTTTTTACGACTATATTTTGGAGTTTCATTCTTGAGTTTTATCATAAAGTCTCAGTATGGCACTAAATTGGAAAAATAGGTAGTACCAAAGTTGATAATAAAATTATGAATAAATAGTATCTTACTGAAATAATAATCTTATTGAAAATAAATTGTGATATTACAAAATATCATAATTAAAGGAAAAACATTTCAAGTATTTAAATATCGAACCGAGGCTAACTGCAGTCTAAACCTGTATTTTTTCCTCGGTAAGTTACGTCCCCGGTAATATCGACTAATCAACCTATTCGATCATTGAGGTCAGTGTCAAGCAAATCTCTCGCTACTACTCGTAGAATTTACTTTTAAATCATATTCATTTGATGAAATTATTGTTTTTAGTCACAGTGATTTCATATAGAATATAATAATCAGCCGCAGTGGCTTTGTACATAAGTCACAGGTGTGATTTAGTTTAAAAAATCATGATTTATCACATGCGATTGTGATTTTATTCCATCCCTATTTTCACCGAGTGAGTGAGGTAACCGTAACTCAAATTCCCCCTCCCCTGATTAAGGAGGAGGATAAAAGAGCCGCAACGCACTTGTGACTCTCGGATTGTAGGAGGTGACCACTCACTTACCATCAGGTTACCCGACTGCTTGTTTGACCTCTTTACTACAAAATAAATATTAATTTCAATGTTATACCACCTTGTATAAATTGGAATAGGTATGAATGAGTAATATACAACAAGTACATTCCTAATTGTAGATCGAATAAAAAAAATCGTTCAGTATTATCCCCAATAGTTACATTTGTCCTTAATCAAGAATTAAAATTATACGAAATAAATGTCAAATAAATAGTGTAAATGACAATTTACGTTACACAACATCATTAAATAAAAGTGTAGGTGTACAACAACCCAAGAATGAATAAATTAAAGATGTACTAAACATCGGTTTAATTATAAATATTTGGCCGCTTTAGCGTAACTATTATTTGAATTTAGACATTGAAGATCTATTAAAATATAATTTCTATACTGATTCCAAAAGAAATCGACTAAAGCTGGCAACAGCTCTAAATTACTAAAATAAAATATCAGACAAACAACGAACAAACAAAAAAAATCATAAGTCATACAAACGGCGCCAAATTTGAACGTAGAACGATGGGCAGACTTACCACAGATGAATTATGTGTTACAAGATGGTGCACTTATTCTTCTTCTTTGTGCTATAGTCTGACTTAATGTTGATACGTTCTGCCTCCTGGAAGCGGCGGACTAGTCTGACGAGCTCGTGGAAGGCCTGGTCAACGTTCATCCGGGCCTTCGCACTGCATTCAATGTAGGGTACCTTAAGTTGGCGTGATAAAGATTGTGCTTCTTCCAATGAAACCTGAAAAAAAAAGGAAATACAGTTTAATATAGAATATTTTTTTTTTAGTTATAAAATAAATATAAAATTATAACCATCATTTAGTTGATTGATTCCACTACACTAATGGAATTTAAATAAAACGAACATGTTCACTGAGAATAAAATAACTAGTCGCATACCACTCGCTGAATTTCCAAGTCCGCCTTGTTCCCCACCAGCAGCATCGGGAACTCGTCTCTGTCTTTGACACGGAGGATCTGTTTGTGAAACTTGTACAGTTCGTCGAAGCTCGCGTGGTCTGCTACGGAGAACACCAGGAGGAAACCCTCACCAGACCTCATGTATTGTTCCCGCATAGCACTGAACTCCTCTTGGCCGGCAGTGTCGAGAACTGTGGAAAAATATGGTGGTTAAGCTATATTATAGATGCAAGGAGGTACTGCTGAAAGGAGCAGGACATCTAATGGTGACTGCCGCCGTCAACGCAACTCAAGAGTCACGAGGGCTCTGCTGTCCTTTGCGCTTGGGAGGCGGCCCCAGAATCAGTGGAAGAGAGAAGAAAGGACTCCGTTCACCCACTAGTTGAAATGAAACGAAAGAATTGAATGGAGAATGAAACAGAACTATTTGTTTTTACTCGCATACTCACTACACACACAAATAAATGCCTAAACGAAAAAATATCAAACATAATTTGAAGGAATTCTTATGGAAAACATGGCCTAGTCATGTTTGTAATCCCTCTTCCTCTCCTTGCCTGACTCGGAGTTCACTTCACCGTTCTGCGCCCGTACGCTTAAATTATGTAATTATTTTAAAAGTACCTACATAATGACGCATGTATTTTTACTGTATGGTGTTAATTTTTATCAACCTCGCTTTATGTAGCATCTGTGGTTTTCAAATGCACTGTTATAATCAATAATCGTAAATTGCTTTGTAATATGTTAAATAAATTTAAAAAAACGTATAATTGACGTTAATGACCTTTATCAATTGGACCTTCGACATCAGGGCCCTTGTGCGAGTTTATTTCACATTTATTCGATCGTTATGGTGAGCGCGTCCGGCGTTGGGATTAGTGAAGAGTTCAGGGCGGCAACAAGGGCCCCTGAAGTCCAATTGATAAAGCTTCAATGCTTTCGTTGCATTTTACTATAGCTAAGCTAAGATTGATTGATTGATTTCTTTCTTTCTTGGGCACCGAGTGAGTGAAGTCACCCGAGACCCAACCCAACTTTACACTCAAAAGGCGGCAACTTATTTGTGTTTCGTATTGGTGACCCGTCTGCTTGTTTGCCCCCTATGCCATAAAAAAATATTGAATGTATAATTCAGTTGGTGTGTTGATGGCTTAAGCATATGGTGTCACGGTCCCTATTCATCCCGTGGGTGTCGTAAGAGCCGACTAAAGGACGACAGGACGAACAGCACTGCAAAGAGAAGAAAGACACAAACCCTTTGCCAGAGTTGTATAGTAGACCAAAACCTAAGGAGAGGCCTATGTTTAGCAGTAGACTACTACAGGCTGGTAATGATGATATTTTAAAATGGAAATTGTGTGTGAGATTTCAATTGTGTAATCTAATTTAGAGGTGATATAATTTAAATATGTCCTCTTAAGATATTTTTTCTCTAACTTACACTTTAGAATATTACATAAGAATGTGCAATAACACTTTCAATATCTCTGAAGGACATTATTAAGTATGTGAGTCACGGCGTTTAGTATATTTGTTATTCAAGATAATGTTTATATATCACTAGCTGACCCGCGCAACTTCGTCTGCGTCTATCAATAGTAATAAATTTTCTCCGTTTTTGAAACATTCTTCATTGGTGCTCCGCTCCTATTGGTCTTAGCGTGATGATATATAGCCTATAGCCTTCCTCGATAAATGGGCTATCTAACACTGAAAGAATTTTTCAAATCGGACCAGTAGTTCCTGAGATTAGCGCGTTCAAACAAACAAACAAACAAACAAACAAACTCTTCAGCTTTATAATATTAGTATAGATAGTAATATTTAAATAAATTGTTTACATTACAACAACTGATTCTTGGTAAAGATATGTTGAAATGTAATTGTTTTAAGTTCACACAAACATTTTCTTGGCTGGCCATATTAGCCGCAGAACAGGCAACCGTTGGGGAAAACGAGTTCTTGAGTGGAGACCGCGTCTCGGTAAACGTAGTGTAGGACGCCCACAGGCTAGGTGGAGTGATGATTTGCGCAAGATGGCTGGCAGGAGCTGGATGCGAGAAGCCCAAAATCGATCTAAGTGGCGTGCAATGGGAGAGGCCTATGTCCAGCAGTGGACTGCGATAAGCTGATGATGAAACATTTTCTTTACGATTGTCTTTCTTTCTTTTTTATATAAGACAACTCCCGCATTAGGAATATATCCTGTGTCGCGGGGGACTTTACAAACATACATGAAACGGACACAGGGAACACCCAGACTCAGAATGACAATTTGTGGATCACACAAAGTGTCGTCCTATGTGGGGATCGGACCCACAACGCTCACAGTGGTGAGCGGCGTGGCGACCGCTTAAACCACTACGCCATCCGTTAAAATTTAATGTCCCCCATAGGTCGATTAGATTTAATAGACCCATCTCCATTCTTTTTTCTTCCAACAACTATAGAAAAAACTCATATATTGTTCGAGCAAGCAGCGATTTCAATAAATTTTGCAAGGAGTACTCTTTTGATCCCTTTAATACCAAAAACAATGTTGTGAGCAGTATAAACCTTACATTTTTCCAATCGTAACATTTCTAAATCTATTTATTGTATAGGTGGTGTCTTGTTAGTTAGTGTTCCAGAACCTCTGTTAAACTACAATGATTCAATTCCTGAAAACCTGTAATTAGCTTTATGTAGTATATCAATATAACCATTATTATTGTTGTAGCTGTTGGTTTTCATAACTGAAGTAAATAAATATTATATGGGTACAAGATGGTACAGGCAGACAATCACTGGATGGAAAATGAACTACTTTCTCTCAGGGACACCTTATCCCTAGTGGGTTTATTACTAGTGTGAGAATGGGCAATTTTTATGGGTTTAGAAGTTCGTATCAGACCAGTTATATGTGTGAGGTCATTTGAGCCATAGTTTTGTTGAAGGTTACACAATCTAATAATACATTTATCTGTTGAATCATACCAACTGGTATTCTAGTATTAGCCTAAAGACACCTAAAAGCCAAGACATCTGACAGCACCAGGGGTTGTCAACAACCGCTGGTTGTACGATTCTACTCAGTACAAAAGTTAACAGAGGCAGCAGATGGGTCACTTGATAATAATTATATTTTAGACATAACGCCATCTAGTTTCAAACTAAACAGAACTTGTACTATAAAAGCTAGATGGATTAGATAGCTTATTCAGCGTTCTACTCATTTTTTTGTAAATACATACATATTATACATGGAAAACATCCAAACTGCGAAACAAATATTTGCAGATCATACAAACATTTGGTCTGACCCGGGAATCTAACCTGCAACACCGAGGTAGAAAATAATGGTAAATAATTACCATTAGACACATGGACCATAAGAATTAAAAGTATATTTTTTACCACATCCACACAATGCACAACTCTAGTCCACAACTAAGCAGAGCTTGTAGTATGGCTACTAGACAACTGATATAACTACATATATACTTATTTTACGTAGAAACGGCTCGGACCAAATCAAACATTCATTGTTCATGCTCACAAATGTTTGACTTGAGCAGGAATCGAACCCGCGACCTGGAATAGCAGTCCGTTACACAAACCACTACGCCATCCGGTCGTCTGGAGGTGCCTTTGAATTAGATACGTGGGGCATACTGTCTCTAGATCTAGCCAATTCCGATAAAAAAAAACAATTATGGAACTCTTTGCGAGGCTGTCATTTGTATTTTCATAGTAACATCCTTTCGAAAATTGTGTGTCGCTATCGAAATGAATTTAACTCGTGAATATTTTCGTTCAATAATCTTTTATGATTTTCTTCGTGGCTTAAGTCAACAAGAGAGTTGCCGGAGACTTCAATTGGCATTTGGCACCACCACAAGCACCATGTCGCAGCTCTGTGTATTCGTGGTTTTGAAAATTGAAACGTTACCTCCATAAAGAGATACGTGAAGGTCGGGCGGCGACTGCGGTTACAGACTCTAATATTACCGTACAACTTATTTAAACTAAAAAAATAATACTTGCCCAGTAAATTCGTACTTTGTGTGCAAAATATTTTACTTTTGCATATAAGGGAACGGAAGCTTTGCACACGATGGATACCGCATGACTTAACGGAGGACCAGAAACGACTGCGGTTCTAGTGTTTAAAAAAGTTTAACGGAGGACAGTTATTGGCTGTGTATAATGTCGTGATAGGTGATGAAACCTGGGTGTACTGCTTTGAACCCGAAAGGAAAAGCCAGTCGGCAGAGTGGATTTTTCCCTTTCAAGATTTGCCGGCGAAAGTTAAGGAAAGTCGAAACATTCGTAAAAAATGGTTGTGGTTTTTACGGCAAATCAGGTCATTACACTACAGTATCGCTACAAGATCAAAGGACAGTGACTACAGATTGGTACGTCAACACTTGCCTCCCCAGAGTCTTAGGAAAGGTTGCGAAAAGCGTCCCCAAAGCATTGTCCTTCTTCACCACGACAACGCGTCCTCACATTCCGCTAAGGTAACAGAAGCCAATTTACCAAAGAGGTGTTTAATAGCCTAAAAAGCTTCAAATGTGGAACTGATGACGTATCCGCTATACAGCCCGGACCGCGCACCCTGCGACTTCTATTTGTTTCCAAAAGTTAAAGATAAACTTAGAAACACACGTTTTACGAGCCCTGAATTGGAGGAAAATGCATTTCGTGAAGCCATTGAAGAAGTCCCTAAGGAAGACTGGTCCAACTGCTTCGTACGTTTAGCGAATGCAAAAATGAATTAATTGTGAGGGAATATACTTTTAAAAACAATAAACGTATCATAAGTCTTATATTTAGTCTTATTTATCAGAATCCAGAAACTTTCAGTATGCCCTAAGTATTGTCGCGTCTTAAGTTTGAATGTTGTATCAATTTGAAATTTCTAATACATTACGTTAATTATTAATTAAATGGTAATGTGCCGTAGTACATAATGCAGATAGAGGTACCAATCATTAAAATAAAAAAAAAAAACTAATAAGTTTTTTTTTGTAATGGTCAAGGAATGTTCTTTTTTTTACCACATTTTTTTGTATTCTCGTAGTTAAGTATTAAACATAAAAACATATTGTGGCTGAAACTTGAAAAATGAAAATTGGTATTGTGCTAGTCTTTTTATTACTTTAAAAATACCTTTCATGACATTTGTGAGATTGAGTAGATCAGAACTGAATTTTATTACGAGAATTGGTCTAATTTTCTGAAATTAAGCTAAGAACTACTTTTCAAGCTTATTATTCAGTGACATGTCAAGGAAATCTATAATTCTCAGATGGAACTTTTTGTTTTATTTATCTAAGACAAAAACCCTTTAACGAAAAACTGACTTACAAATATTAATGTTGGTTACGTACATACCTACACTGTTAGAAAATTATATGATATACAAAAAATATTAAAGTTCTCAATAAGAAACTGAAGTAGCTATAATGCCAGCATATAGGTAAATAAATTGTTCAGCTCTAATGAAAAAGGGTATAATTCCTTTTTAACCAACTTAAAAAAAAAGGAGGAGGTTCTCAATTCGACTGTATCTTTATGTTTGTTACCTCAGAACTTTTGACTAGGTGAACCGATTTTGATGACTCTTTTTTTTTTATGTAAACAAATAACTCTATCATAAGGTAAAAATTGATTAACTAATTTTACAGAAATTAGAGATGTTGAAAAGGTTTTGCATTATATTATAGTTAAAAGGAAAGTTGTGATTATTGCCATTTATATTTTCAAACTTTATTAGTATCTGTTATGCTATTACCTTAAACTACAAAATATGTACTCTTTTTCACTCATTTGTGGCTCATAAATAATGATTTATCAATAAGAACTGATATCTAATGAGTGTAACTTAAATGTTAACATTCAATCATAAACAAATTACATTAAGAATATTACAAGAAGTATACATATAATAATGTGTGGTGTTTCCTTATTATGTAAAAAAAAAAGAATTGGCATAGACAAGAAATTCCACAAAAAATAATAAGATAAAAGTACAATAAATACTAATGAAAGCTCATGCCCTTGACAAATTTTATCACGACACAACACCCACAGCATCAGATACCAGGAAACCATATGATTAAAGAGTTAGATACTCACTGTCCAATTTAGCTGGCACATCATCAATAACACACTGCTTTGTGTAACTATCCTCAATGGTAGGGTCATAATCTGTTACGAAGTAACTCTGGAACACGAAAACAACAGTTTCAGCACCAGATGCGGTGACGCCAGTGGGCGGAGTCGCCTTCAAATGAAACCTTGACATAAGACAGCCTAAGAAACACTATTTTTAAGCATGAACACATTACACTGTTCAACGGATGCACTCAACCATTTCACACAAAACATATCAGAAATAATTAGAACATTATAACATATGTTCTATAGGCGTATCTCTGCCAAATACGGCGATAAATACCTGAATAAATTGTATTGTAATTGCACTTTTCCCCACGCCACCGCCGCCAACAACGACAAGTTTGTACGTCTGCGCTTGGTTAGGTCTTTCGCCGGCTCGTGACATTTTTTACACTCGTTTGATGATCTAAAATGATAACTTACAAAAATAGTGAAATTTATCTAATATATGACAATCAGCAGCACTCCATCAATATGATGGAAGATGACTCAAGCCACAGAATACTAATCAGTGTTGCCAACAGTTAAATGAACTCTCCACCAGATTTGACATTTAAAACCACATGAAAACCACTAACGAAAAGCAACCCTTCTCTAAAAGGCACTAAACATTATTTTTAGTAATTACGAAAGAAAACCATGAGTTTATTAATAACTAGTGTCCTGTTTTAAAATTTAATACTGATATTAATTTATTTTGTCAGCACCATCATCGTCAGTTCCAGAAAAATACGATTCTTTGGTACCGATTTGTTTTACAACGTTTATTGGAATATCATTTTTGTTGCAGCATTCTCCTAACAACTTCAAACCACAGCGGATGAAAACAAAAGGTTAATGCCGTAGGCCTGCACAATCACCAGACCTCAATCCCATCGAGCACACATGGGACATGCTCCAGATACGTGTTCTAGAGAACCTGGACCACGGTACAATTATAATACAGTACTCCAACTTCATACAAACGGACGAAACGCGAGCTATACCTACGCGCCTCGATCTCGGGGTGCGCTCGGGGCGCAGACAGTCACGGCTGTACCGCAGTGTCGAACGGACGGTGTGTTGTTTTTTTTAAGAATGACCGCGCGATTTTTTTTCTCTAAAAATCAGTTAATATGACTAGTAGGAAATATTGTGCTGTTTTTGGTTGTATGAATTTGTCAATAACGCATCCAGACATAAGGTTTTTTTAAATTACCTGGAAACTCTGAAAGGTAAGACTATAAAATAATTTTACTTACTTGTAGGTAGGTACAAAATGTGTGTCTTTTTTATGGATAAGTATTTCCTTTTATCTTACGAAAAAAAAAGGTGTTTGGATTAATTAATAAAGCGAATAGAGTAACGGAAAGTTATTGAGACGAGTGAAATAGGTAGTTATATGAGGTTCTGAATGAATCATGATACGGTAGGTACCTACCTACTTACGCTTGTGTTAAAACTTCGGTGCATGTGTGTTTTGTTACTTTGCATAATTCAAAGTAAAGACGTGGTATTTTATTTTTAATAATATTTGTTTATTATCTGTGTGTATGAATAATACTAGAAAAATTAAAAAAAATTACCGTCTGTGTGTCATTAGATAGTTTTCGAAATTTTCACAAAGTGTTTCTGCTGCTACTATAACAACATATACCACTAAAAACTCCTCCAATGCAGAAAGAAAATAAAATAATTAAATCTACCAATCAAAAAACAACACGCATTTTTATTGAACACTTCCTATTCAATATACAAAGTATTTCATTTATTTATATAAAAAGGATATTTACAATCACAAATCTAAATAGAAACAGAAAGTAGGCAAATATAATTAAAATGCTGGAGACGGGCAGCCCTAACGCATGTTTACGTACCGCGCGGCTGTAGGCATTTATTTCTATCATGCGGCCGAGTTACACTACTGTATTATAATAGTACCGTGCCTTTTTTTTTTTTTTTTTTTTTTTTTTTTTTTTTTTTTTCCGTGCGGAAATCCCCTCGGATACCACCTGTCGGTGGCATGTCGGACTCGAACCGACTAAAACCGCACGCCTTCGCCGGGTACTAATTGCCGGGGAACCAGGTATACCCTAGAAAGGAAGGCCCTGGTGCCCCGACATACCTCGGGTCATCTACAGACGAGTAGACGACCCCCGCCCCGTGTGGGAACCCCATGTTCCCTGTGCTCCCTGGAAGCGAGCGCGCTTCGCAACGCGCTCGCCGCCACCCGGCCTGCTTCTGCTAGGGTGACAGATGGCCTCACCTGTCACCCCCAGGCCTGCGCTTATGGAGGACGGAGGTCGTTCTGCGACCTCCGGCGCCTGAGTGACCTGCGCTGCCTGGCCCGTGCCCGGGCCTGGCGGGCCGGGAGAGTTCTAAACCTCTCCCGGTCCCGCTCCGCCGTCTCCTTCGCGAGCATAACTTGCTCGCAGAAGGAGACGGCAGAGTTCCACGCACTCTCGCTCCGCACGATAGCTGCAATCAGGCTATCGAGCGAGAGAACTCCCACTCCGATGGCCGCCACGAGGTCTCGCCTCTGCTCAACCCACGCCGGGCACTCTGCCAGCGTGTGGAGAGCCGTGTCCACGGTCTGGCCATCGCAGTGGTGGCACTCAGGCGTTGGCTCCTTGCGGATCAGACACAGGTGATCTCCGAAACATCCCTTCCCAGTGATCACCTGCGTCAATCGGTATGAGAGGGTCCCGTGACGCCTCTCGAGCCAATCCTCCATAACGGGTCTTACCGCCGCAATGACGGCGTGCCCAGCGCTCGGTTGCCCGAGTCGTTCCCTCCACTCCCCTATGATGACCTGGCGGAGTTGGGATTTCCGGTCATCGATTTCTCGAATCTCGGGGCATCGACCCAACTCCTGCGCCTCCTTGCGCCACTGATACAGTGCCGCAAGGGCTCTCGCCTCCAGGTCCCACGGTGGAGTTCCGGCCAGGAGACTCGCTGCCTCAAAGGAGATCGTGCGGTACCCCCTTATGATCCTGATGGCCAGCATTCGCTGCGGTCGTCGCAGTATCGCGACGTTGCTGGCCTTCAGGGCCCCCGCCCATACCGGGCACCCGTAAAGGGCCATGGACCGCACAACCCCCGAGTAGAGTCTCCTGCAGGAGTCATCGGGTCCCTTCATGTTGGGCAGCAGCCGCGCCAACGCACGCGCTGCCCCAACCAACTTAGGGACCAGACCTCGGAAATGATATCCGAAGTCCCATCGGCCATCGAGTACGAGCCCCAGATACCTGATCGAGGGCTCGATGCCGATGCGAGTGCCTCCTACCGTGAGGCTAGATCCCTCAGGCGGCTTCCTCCGAAGCCCGTGGAAGAACAGGGCCTCGGACTTGTGCAGAGCCACCTCGAGACCCAGCCGCCGGATACGCTCAACGACTTGGGCAACCCCGGCCGTGGCCCTCAGGGTTGCCTCGTGGTGCGTCTTGCCGCGCGCCGTCACGAGTGTGTCGTCCGCGTAGCACACGACGGCGACACCATCCAAGAAGGCACCACGAAGCACCCAGTCGTAGCCGATGTTCCACAAGAGTGGCCCTAACACCGACCCCTGCGGAACACCGCACGACATTTCACGCCTACCGAGACCGGTCCTACTGGGGTAGACGACGGCTCTCTCCGACAAATATGCCCCGACTATGCGGCGGAGGTAGAGAGGCACTTCGTGATACACGAGCGCCTCCCTGATGCAGCTCCAGGGCATAGTGTTGAACGCGTTGGCGATGTCCAAGGACACCGCCAACACCACTTCACCCCGGGAGACTGCTTCCTCCGCCAGAGCCTTCACGCGCATGATCGCATCCACGGTGGAGCGCCCCTGACGGAAACCGTACTGGTTGTCCGCCAGATCCGGCCCAACCATCACGAGATGCTTGACGAGGCGCCTTGCAATCACTCTTTCAAAGAGCTTGCACACCTCGTCAAGCAACACTATGGGCCGGTAGGCGGACGGTGAGTCCGCCGGGCGCCCCTCCTTTCGGATGAGGACCAGTTTCCCCGTCCTCCACAATTTTGGAAACTGGCCCCGCTCGAGGCATGCGCTGAAGAACCCTCGCAGTCGGGGCTCGAGAGCCTCGTCAACTAAGGCCAGGACCCACGCTCGGCCAGGAATGCCATCGGGTCCCGGGGCGGTGTTTTTGGCTTTAAGCCGTAACACCGCCGCCCTTAGTTCCACCCCAGTGACCTCAGGCACGTCGTCGTCATCCACGTTAGGCGCCTCAAGCGCCGGAGGCGGAGCCATCTGTGGCGGAGTATGCTCCACCACTCGCGTTGGGAACAGGGAGCCAACGACCCTCTCAAGCAGCTCTGGCTGAAGACACCGTGTGAGCGGCGGGGCCCATGGGCGCATCTTGCCCCTAACCATACGGTAGGGGCGTCCCCACGGATCCCGCTCCAGTGTCTCCAGCATCTCGCGGCGGGCCTCGCTCTTGGCCCGCTTTATCGCTGCCTGAAGGGTCCTCTTGGCAACCCTGTAACCCGCTGACAGCTCCGCCTCTCTCGCTGCCGCATCTTCGGGGCGGCGACGCCTCCTGCGGAACCTGGACCACTGGCGGCGCGCGGTCACGCAGGCTTGACGCAGCCGTGCGATCTCCGGCGACCACCAGTAGACCTGGCGCCTTGCAGTATTGGGCTGAGCCCTAGGCATCGCCGCATCGCAGACGCGGGTCATGGCCTCCCGGAACCACTGTGCTTCAGCATCGACGTCGACAGGCCTGTCCGGCGCAGGAGCCCAGGCCTGTACGATGGCGGCTTCCAGGAGGAGGTCGCGATCTAAGCGCTTGAGCGCCCAACGTGGTTCAGGTGGTGCCGGTCTGACCGGCGCGCCATCTGCAGGGGCGGAGACGTCAAACCGAATATATCGGTGATCCGAACCTGTCTCCTCCCCGACAACGACGCGCCAGCCTTGGACACGACGCGCTAGCGAGGGGCATGCGAACGAGATGTCCACGATCGAACTACCCCTCGCCGTCACGAACGTGGCCACGGCCCCCCGGTTTAGGAGAACTAGGCCGAATCTTTCAGCCCAGTTCTCCAATGCCCTGCCCCTTGGGTTCGTGCGCAGGGAACCCCAAGCCTGCGACCAGGCGTTGAAGTCCCCCAGCACAAGAACCGGGTGGGGGCGACAGGCATCGACGACGACGGCCAGCTGAGCGAGCCATTGCTCGTACTCAGTTAGGTTTCGGTTCGGCGTGAAATAAGCGGCCACGACCGCTATATCTCCAACTATCGCCGCTACACAGCCCCGTCCCCTTGCAACTACTGCAAGAGGTGGAGTGCCGGCTGCGGTACCGTGCACCAGGGCCGCCGTGCCGTCCAAGTCGGTCTCCCAGGCAGGCCCGAGAAACCGATGGACATATGGCTCGGCGATAGCGGCGATGTTGATGGACCACTGTGCCATGCTCTGGAGCAGAAGATCCTGAGCATCGGCACCGTGGCCTACGTTGACCTGGAGGATGCGGAGATGTGGATCCATCACTGGACTTCCATCCCCGCATCCCGCAGCGAGCTTTGCGGCTGTCCAGCGGCACTCTCCGTCTGGATCAGCGGCTCGGAGGCGGAAGGTCGGCCTCCCGGCTTCGGTCGCGATAGGGCACAGGCCTTACCACCAACCCGGTGGTCGGCAGGCTTGCCCCCCGCTGCGCACCTAAAGCAACGCAGCGGAGCGTTGCAGCCACCCGCCTTGTGACCGGGCTGGCCACAGCGGAAGCATCGGTCACCTACGGTGGCCTCCGCCGTGCAGTGCACCCCTACGTGACCCACCGACAGGCACCTGAAGCACCTTGCCGGTCGGGCCTGCAGGAGTCGTGCCTGCGCCCTCAGGAAACCTCCGACCAGGAGGCTCCGTCCATCGGCGACCTTCTGGGCCGCCGCAATGGGGCAGCTGACAACCGCTGCCCCCTGTCCACCGGGGCCGAAGCGTATTGCTCCGGCCTTCACGCTGTCCAGAGGGCAGCTTCCCGTCTCCGCCACGGCGAGTCTGAGCTCGTCCGCCGTGACAGAGTCGTCCAGGCCCGTAATGCGCACTTCTGCGCATTTAGTGGGTCTGGACACTCGGACGTCAGCTGCATCCAGTGCCTCCCTCAGCTTAGCCGCTAGGGCGTCGGCTTTGGGGCCACTGGTAGCGCCGGCGACCTCGAGGAGCCGGGCTCCCGTCCGTGTGTTTTTACACCGGACGCCCGGAATCTCGAGGGCTTTGAGGTCCACGTTGGCCTTGACTTTCGTCAAGACCTCGGCGTACCCCACGCCCCTCTCCGCTGCCTCCGCCGTCAAAGTGATAACGACGGCCGAGGAGCGAGGGGCGCGGAGCTTCCTCGGCGCTCCCTTCGCGGCGGCGGCGGCGTCCCTCCTCGCCTTCTTGGCCGCTTTTTTGGCGGCCTTCCGCCTCTTTTTGTTGTCCCCGGCCACCGTCCAGCCCCGCTCCAACGAGCGCTGTGCGGTGTCAGCCGGGGCCGAGACTGGGGCTTGGGTTGGGGCCACCTTCCCCCTCCCTTTGCCCTTTCTGGTCTTCTGGGGCGGGGGCGCTGATGACGGCCCAGCCACCCTAGCTGCTGGCTGGGCTGTTAGGCCCGCCTTGGCAGCGGCCGCATATGTCGCCTTTGGCGGAGCCAGAGGTGGGCGACAACGGGCGCTCTCTATTGCAGAGATGCGCCTCATAATTCGCTCCTCCATCTCCGCCACGAGTCGGACTAAGTCCGGCTCCTTAGGGGCGGACAACGCCACAGGTGCCGAAGACGCTGGTGTGGCACCAGCGTGGGCACGAGCCTTGGCGAGATCCGCCTCGAGGCGGGCTCTCTCCCTAGCGTGGGCCTTGCTCTCGGCCACGAGGAGTCGTCCCGCCTCGATGATGGAGCGCACGACCGCTACCAACGCCTCCTGTTCGGGACCCCTGGCTACCCCGGACGTCTGGAGCAGGCAATCGGCCACGCCGATTGCCTCCTCGATCTGGTCCACGGGGTTGCCGGTTTTGCCTCGTAGCTCAACGAGGCCAGCACCCCCACCCCCGCTCCCCACATCAGTGGTCGACATCTCGGACGCGACCTCCTCCTGTTTACTCCGTCCAAGACCCCCATCTTCGGCTCCTCCCAGAGCCGCGGACTGGACCGCCACCTTCTTTCTTGCCACCATGGCCTTGGGGAGTCGGCCTCCGCCGCGAGCGCCTCTGCGGCTTGTGCCGACTTTGGGAGCCGAGGCCTCATCGCTAGAGGCCGACTCCAATTGCCTCTTCAGGCCCAGGCGAAGCGAGCGCCTTTTGCGCTTTGGAGTACCCTTCTGGTGCTGCTCCACAGCTGAGACCATAGGGGTACTCGCTCCGCTCCTCTCCGAGGCAGTGTCGGTGTTCGACACTACCTCCACGTTTCTCGCGTCCTCCGCGATAACGTCGCCGGATTTACTGCTCGGCGACGGGCAGGTTTGACATTTGGTGCTCCCCCCAGAATACGAGTGGGAGCTGCCGGAGCCGTTTGGCTCCGGGAGGGATTCCCCAGACACTGTGTGCCCGGTACCCTCCTGGGTAGATTTCTCTGTAGTTGGCCTCATGTCATTTTGTAAGTTTTACGTCCTTCGACGGGGACGCCTTCGGCACTGGACTCCCTCCAGCGACTCAGCCCCTTGCCAGGCGTCAGAACGTGGGCTTAGAGCATTTTTTATAGAGGTTTACGTCCTCGCGGATCCGAAGATCCACCGGTCCTGTCCATTCAGGATTACGGCTGGGCCGGACGGGGTCTGCACCAGACCGGGTCCGTCCGCCCCAGGGTTTTTTATAGAGGTTGCCTTCCTCGTAGCCCTCGAAGAGCCGTCATTCCTGACTGTTGCCAGTCAGGGTTACGACATGGCCGGACGGTGGTCTGCGTCAGACCAGTGTCCACCACCTCTGGACAGAGCCAGCGGCAGTGGACCCGTCCGCCCCCAGCCCGCTCTCCCCTATGCCCTCTGCCAAACAGAGGGACATGCGGAAAGCAGCCCTCCGAACAGCCCTTGACAGGCCGTTCCCACCTCGGCCGGAATTGGCCGCAGGCGGCAGCGCCTCTCCCACCTAGGGAGAGAGGCGCTGCCGTCCCCGTTGCCCAGGGTGCACCACAAGGAGGTTCCGGACCACGCACCCCAATAGTACCGTGCCTGGACGGAGTGTCAACATCCCAACAACTAAAAGACTTGTTAAAATTCCATTGGGAGCGATTACCGCAGGATCAGATAAACAATCACGCTTTGTACTGAATTACCAAATAATTAAAAATATATCTTTATTTAATTTTGTAACACATGAAAGTTTAATTTCGTTTAAACTTTATTTTATGCGTATGTATATATTTTTAAAAGATTAGCAATGCTACATTTTCTGTCACATTTCATTAGCTTGTCAATGCCTAACTTTACGTTTACTACAAAGTAGTAGTTAGTTAGCGAACTAGGCCACCATTTACATATAATTTTTTTGTCCGAATATATCGATCTAAAATAGTATAATGTAAGCGAATATATCGCTCTATGTATTCGCATTCCTGGGCCCCGGTGACGAAGGGGCCCTGGGCACGGGCCCCGTGTGCCCTTATGGTAAAGACGGTACTGCCTAAGTCCTCTACAATCTTAATATTACTACTAAACCACAAGAAAAATCCACTAGCCACTAAAAGCAAAATTTCACCACTTAAAGGGGGTCGAAACCACAAGTTTTAGTGGAAAATTCACTAGGTTGGCAACAATACCAATACCCTGACGATTCAAACTAATACTATCTATGACTATGACTACGACCATGACCGAGATAAAGAAGCGGAATCGAGTGTTTTTCGAATCGAAGATTATAAAGTATGTTTTTATTATTACTCTGTGTTTCTAAATTTATTTCAGTTCTAGAATTTTTTTTGTAAGGGAAATGTTTTTCAACTTATTGAAAATTCCCATGACTGTCTAGGAGATATCGCTATCTTTACTCGATCAATAGCTGACTAGAAAAATAGAACTAGTAATAAACTCACACATTTCTTGTTATCACAATATAACTCATCTAAAATCTATAATTAAGAACTAATTGCCAATTTCTATTTCGAATATTGAAGCGTAAAACAGTAGTAAGGGTCCGTCCACACAGCGATATTTCACCGCGCGCTATTTATTGGAACTATATATAACTTGATCTATATGTATATATCCGCACTGGCAGAAAAAAAATCGTGCCAAAAAAATCTATGATTTGATAAAAATTGAACGCGATACGGTGGTGATTTATTTCCAAGCGATTAAAAACCTCGCGGTGAAATATCGATGTGCGGAATGTCAGTCTCAGAGTGATTTGTCAAAAATATCAGATCAGTCAGTTGTCAATGTCAAACTTAAAACCCAGAAGGCCGTTTTAATTTGGATTTGTTTTTTCGTGGTTGTTATATGTAGTTTAATCAGTAATAATTACATAAAATAGCCTTAAGATGTTTTCAACAAGCTCTCAAAAGAAATTCTGGACATTCAGTGATGATAATGAGCTGGCAAGTTTACGGGAAAAGCACAATCTGGCGTATATATATAAGCATGGTCAAAACATTGATGAATTTCAACGGCACAGTTTCTTCTTATCACCTGAAGAGGAAAGGCTACTTTTGAAGCAATACGAGTTACATTTAAAGGAGTTCTGCAAGCGATTTAGTCCTCCAATGCCAAAAGGAGTTATTGGTACCGCTTTTCATTATTTCAAACGATTTTACTTATACAATTCAACTATGGACTATCATCCTAAAGAAATCCTGGCTACTTGTGTGTATTTAGCGTGTAAAGTGGAAGAATTTAACGTATCCATAGGCCAGTTCGTTGCTAATATTAAAGGTGACAGGGATAAGGCATCAGACATAATTTTAAACAATGAATTATTGTTGATGCAACAATTAAACTATCATTTAACGATTCACAATCCCTTTAGACCAGTAGAAGGCTTTCTAATTGACATTAAAACGAGATGTAACTTAGCCAATCCAGAGCGCTTGAGGGGCGGTATCGATGAGTTTCTAGAAAAAGTATTTTTGACAGATGCATGTCTTATCTATGCTCCATCACAGATAGCGCTAGCAGCTGTGCTGCATGCGGCAAGTAAAGAACAAGAAAACCTTGATTGTTATGTGACTGAGATGTTATTTCGACATGCCGGGCAGGACAAGCTTGCGATACTCATTGAAGCTGTTCGAAAAATCAGATCGATGGTGAAGATGGTTGAAAGTCCTGCACGGGAAAAAGTTAGGATAATAGAAAAGAAGTTGGACAAGTGTAGAAATCAAGAAAATAATCCTGACAGTGAGATCTATAAGAGGAGAATGAGAGAGTTGTTGGATGAAGATGATATTCCTCATACCGGGAGCAGCAGGATGTCTTTGGATACAAGTGGAGTTGCTCAAGTTCTTTCTCCCTCTGCGTCATAGAACTTTTTAATACACATTATTAAACATGAACAGATGTACAATATTTACTGACACACAAATATCTAATAAAAATAAAATTAAGATTTTTTAATATTATAGAATTATTTGTTTTTTTTTAGTCTACTAGAATTTGTGATTTCAAATTGATTGTTAAAGATTTTTCAAATTTATTTTATGGTGGACGTGAGAGTGTCCCCCATTAGGCCCTCCCACGAGAATCAGTTGGATTGGATTGGATTTCTTAGTTATCACTCCAGTTGAGTTGGCCCATTTGTGCCGAGGCATATCTCTCCCATGAAGAAATTTAAGACATTTTTGGTATTGGTATTGGTATTGGTTGTGGGCTTCGGTTTCCGCATTTAGACTCAGAGTGGTCCTTTATGCGTCGAGGATTGGTTGACTAGGTGAGCCAACCAAGCTCCTTCCAGAAGCGCAGAAGCCTCCTGGGGCATTCACAGGCTTCTAGGAGCGACTTTATATCAGGAATGATACTTGCCCGTTGTGTGGCCACTCCCTCGCATTCCAGGACTACGTGGACGGCCGTTTCTTCAGCTTCCAGACATCCCCTGCACAGGGGACTGTCTGTCGCATTGATTATGAATAGTTGTCGGTTCAGGGCTAGATGTCCTGTAATAGTTCCGACGACCATTCTGATTTCCGGTCTGCTAAGACTGATCAGTCTGCAGGTGAGTCGTGGTGTGATTCAGCACCAGTTTGGACTGTCTGCAGCCGGGTGAGTTTTTCCACCTCCGGTTGTGTGCTTCACAGGTCCGTTGCCTGACCCAGCATCGTATTTGGTTAAACGATATGGGCAGGAGTGGAGTTGGGCCAGAGGTTGGGGTTGCCGAGCCCCTCCTTGCCAACTCATCTGCGGCATCGTTCCCGTGTGAGTTACTGTGCCCTTTAATCCATTGGAGGATTACCCCATTGAATATAGCGAGCTGTTCCAGTGCTTGGTGGCATTCGAAGACAATACCAGAGGTCATTGTGTTGCCCTCCAATGCCATTAAGACGGCCATGCTGTCGGATATTATTCGGATAAAAAAAAAAAAAAAAAATTTAAGACATTTAAACTTAGAAGACTTTTTGCTCTAACCACTCTTGGTTCCTCTAAAATGTCACTTGTTCGCTGGACGCTTTTATCACTGCTCTAACCAAGTCACAATTTTTCCGTTCAAGGCTTACTGTCAGTCGTTCTATACCAGCCAACTCTGGTAGAGATACACTAAGTGTGCTTTATAACACTCTTTGTGTACAGTATAACGCTTTTAGTGCTATGTAAACCTACCCTGGTGGTGTAGCGCAACTGACATGTTCGCTGACTACAGAGTCACTGATTTTTTCGGGGTCTTGAGAAGACTCAAAGCATCTTTCCTGACTCGATTATGTGCATGTAGTAATTAATTAGTTCATGATATATTCTGCTGTGTTTATCTGCTGAGACATTAAGGTTTTTGTGTATTAATTTTAATTAATGTAATTTAATTCTTGTAACTTCCTTATGGGCGATTATGCCTGAAATTAATAAATAATATTAATTGTTGGTTTTGTCCATGATTTCATCAGATGTACGGCAGATTTTGCCGTACATCTGATTACTGAAAAGGCTCACAAAAAAAAAACTAGGCGCAATGATTTAAAATGGTTGGTAATAATAAAAAAAATAGACAACATTGTCATAGACAACAGGGAAATTTACCCTACAGTAGGTGAAAGAGGTAACTCCTCAGGCTTATTTGCAGTAATATAAGTTGTTTGATAACACCAGCTTCTGCACAAACTGAGGATTCTTCCTCATATGATGACACAGCCTTGAAATTTAAGTTAATTAGATAAATATCGCATGATTCCCATGAGTAACCAATCGCTTGTTATTGATTTTGGCATCGCTTCATCATACCCATTGAACTTACTTGACAACGCTTTTAATTTATAATACCTTGCATGTTCATTGCTCATGTAGGTATACACGTACAGGGGCGGATCTTGAATTTGTGGGGCCCTGGGCTAATACTGTTTAGGGGCCCTACCTAATTGCCATTCCCAACCAATTGCTATTTTGTCAAAAACTGTTTTCTGTAGTGATGAAAGTACAGGAAGAAAATAGGAAAACAAAATATTTTATTTAATTATTAAAACATTATTTATTGCTAAACTAGCTGAGACCCGCGGTGTTACCCGCGTTTGTTGTTATAACCGCGGGCTACGCCGCGGGGCGAAGCTAGTCGAAAAAAGTAGCCTAAATTACTCCTTATGTCATCATCTCTGCCAGTGAAAGTCCCGTCGAAATCGGTCCAGCCGTTCCAGAGATTACCCGGAACAAACAGACAGACAGACAAAAATTGTAAAAAATATTATTTTGGCATATGTACCGTGTAAACATACATATGCACTTAGTAAAAAGCGGTTATTTTAATATTACAAACAGACACTCCAATTTTATTTATTTGTATAGATAAATTGACAGGTTATGAATGGTTATGTTATATAAATTATAAAGCAACCTTTCAGCATTTTTGTGCTGCAAATTCTTTTATTTGGTCATCGCACTGTAAGTCCTTTGTTAAATCGCAATTTATGGAAAGAACTGGTAAATGATTTAGTCGATAGTTCGACATTGTTGTCCTGTATTTGTTTTCTATATACGACATCCTGGTTTGGGAAAACATCAACAAGTTTCTTTTCATAAATTAGCCAAAAAAATTCACTGCAAGAGGTGTAAGACTCTGTCTTAGACTGTAGTAAGTAAGATTTTAACTGAATGCACTCATTCACTATATGTTCGTCTACGTCATTTGGAAAATAATAAATAATATTACGTCCACTTTCCAGATCTATATGTTCTTAATTTTTGTCTTGCAAATCCATTAAATTTTAATGTTTTTGCTATATCTCATAGGCTTGTCTTCTATTATTTAAATATATATCGATAAGTGATAAGCTGAGGGAAGTCCCCAGTAATAGACAATACACGGAATACACCGACCGAAAACAAGCGACAGGGAATTCCCCGTTCCGTTTGATAGATGCCCACACGGGATTGATCGCAGTGTTGCCAACCTTGTGATCGGTTGTTTTTAATTCTAGATAATTTTTATTGTTGACAATATCGTCTATTGTTTCCAGTTCGGTTGGGGGCCCTCTGTACCCACGGGACCCTGGGCTGCAGCCCAAAAAGCCTTTAAGTAGATCCGCCCCTGTACACGTAGGTATAACACGTGTGTAAACAAATAAATGATTATCTTATCAAGACGCAGGCTCAAAGGATTTTCATTTTGAGGAAGTTGAAACCCCAGAATGATCAGAGATAGGCATGACCTGGTTTTATCCGGGGACCACATCAATCATAACTCACGACAAGAAAGCATAGGCATGAAGACAGTTCATTGACCCTGAAAATGAAACGCAAAAATCTTGTTATTTCTTTTAAGGTTTAGCCTATCGCAGTCCACTGCTGGACATAGGCCTCTCCTTTCCTTATTACCTACTTAATACTAAATCCTAAACTTAATTATTTTTCCAATATTTTTGATCTGTTGTTTTCTCACTTATTTGACCTCATATAGAATACCTGGTTGAGATATTCGAATATCCAAGAAATCCAAGTCTTGCAAAATAAAGCAATAAAAACACTTTATAACTACGACTACCTAACACCAACACTTAAAATCTACAAGGATACCCAAATCCTAACAATTAAACAACTATACATGCTTAAAACTTGTATACTAATACATAAAATCATAACACAAGGTTTAAAGCATTCACAATTAAGCTTTAAAGAAAAAACCTATACATACAACGCAAGGAAACGAAAAAACCAGAAGTAACAAAGCCTAGAACCGACTATGGTAAGAAAAATATATTATATAAAGGTGACAAACTATAATGAAATACCTGATGATGTTACTAAAAGTGATAGGTTGTTTAAATTTAAAAAAAGTTTAGGAGATTACATTAGGAAAAAGTACTGACACAAATGAAATTGTCTTTATATTTTAGTTTTACATTACTGTATAGTGTATTGTGATCACAAAGATACTTAACTAATTTATTGTGTTCTTACATTGTCTCATTATGTAAGTGAACTGTATTGTTCTTTTTATGAGAAATAAATGTCTTTAAACCGAATATTTTTAATTTGTTGGTTCCTCACTCTTGTATTATTTTCTTTTTGAACCTTAATGAATGTCATAAAGTTCTGATTTAAATCTAGAAATGTACTTAAGAATGTGTGTAATAGAAAATAAAGTTAAAAATAAAAATACTGAAGTAAGAGTTAGATAAATTCACACAATCCACACACACACACACACACACACACACACACACACACACACACACACACACACAGCAGTCTTATCCCAAGCTAGACAGAACCTGTACTATGGTAACCAGACTGCGTATATTTCTAAATAAATACATAATATAGATAAATTACACCCAGACAAACAACAAAATGAACATGCTCATCTTACAATATTTCGACACCTCCTAAGTATAATGAGTCAACTGACATTGTAGTAATTTTACAGGAGAGCGATTTGAAGGCAAATCGTTATATATTTTAATGAAATTAAACCTGTTCGTAATAAATTAAATGTTTTTTTAATAAGGAATGGAAGCTCTTCCTTTGGTATAAAATGATTTTGCTGATTTTGGTTTTTAAATGATATTTTATGTACGTTGTACATCAAAATCTATGGCTTACCCCAATATATTATGAAATATGATTGTCATTTTGATAACGTCATCCTACTTTTGGTTGTTTTCGGTATTTTCTGTCTCACTTAAAAATAAAATGTTGAAATTACATCACTTGACTCATTATACTAGGAAAGTACTTAACTATGTTAGCATTTGAAACCTCAACGTATACTGGACTAACATAATTCACCGAGACTTTTTAATTACTCATTTGATTTCTATTATAATATCTATACATAAAAATTATGGGTTTATTCAACTTCAATATATAAGTATAATCAAAAACAAGTTGA